ATATATATATATATATATATATATATATAAATATAAATCAGACAATAATTAGTATCGTAATATTAATATAATAATAAATAATATTGTATATAATTGTTAAATTTAATTGATCAATTAAATTGTAATTTATATAATAGTTTGTTTGCTTTTTTTTTTTCTGTTTTTCTTTTTGTTTATAGCGAAACGTTACCAAGTCTCTCTACATTTGTTCTTCGTATTATTATTATAATTTAACAAGAAAAAGTATATATAAACGGTTTAAGGTTGGGGTTGGAAGTTAGGGGGTGGGATTAGGTTTAGGATGAAGGGGTGTTAGTAGTCGTGGAAAGATAAAAGAATAATATCTAATACATTTTCTTCTTGTCGTATCGAGGATGAACACACACTGGTATTTGTAATATGATTTTGGAATTGTTTTTTGTTCATTTTCTATTGAAAATCCTAAGTAGAAGTAACGTCCGCTTCGAATGTAAAACTTTTCAATTTTTTTTTGTTAATTCTATTAAAACTTCTATTTAATATTGTTGTATTTTGTTTTTTATCATTATTATTATTTTTTGATTAAGTTTCTCTCGAATATTACGATAATCACCGACGAGTCTCCCATTTAGTTTAACATCTGAGAATTATTGTTTGTTTTGTCATTCATATTGTTTATTAGCATAGCTAGCAAGCTTAGCTGCCTGTCTCACGTTAAGAATAAGAAAATTTGTTTTTATTAATTTTGTTTTCTTTTTAATTTTGTTTTCTTTTTATTAGAGAAAGAGAAATGCTGCCGAAAAGTGTGACTTTTAAAACAATCGATTGTTTATTATACTAATATACCAACGTTGGTAGGACGGTTTTTAAAAAAACTAATTAAAGTATATCTTAATAAACGAACAAAAAGAAAATATAAATATCAATTTTGTACAATAATAAATTTGTATGTATATATATATATATGTATATATATTAAATCAACAATTTTGTTTATATATTATAACGCCCACAAACTTATGCGATATTTGTTCTCTTATAATTTCAACAAATATAAAAAATCTACATTAAAATTATAAGACACGCGCGTTGAGAATAGAATTAAATTTACAACAAAAAGAAAAAAAAAAGAAGAAGAAGAAGAATAAAAAGCACAAATCTTAAAAATAAATCTCGTGTCACAGAATGAATTAATCGCGCGAATGTTTCCAAACAATTCATATAACAATCAAAATTTCTTAATATACACGAAAATTATGCAATATATAATTGACAAAAAAATTAATTAGAAAATAGAAGAAGAAGAAAAAACAAAAATCATAATCCGTCCTACCGAAACGTTGGATGGTTTGATTAAAAGATATTTAACAACAAAAAAATAATAAAATTAGGAAAGAAAATTGTATCGATTTCTTAAAAGATAGTCTTTCATTCATCATCATCATCATCATCATCATCATCATCATTATGATCATCATCCTTCACTGGAAAGAGGATGACATTCGAGCGAGTCACGTTCAGCCATAGCTTCACCACAACGTAATGGAAACTCATCGGTTAACAGACTCTCAGGTATCATGTCAGCTGAATCTATGCTGTCAAAGTATCGATGTGGCCAGGTCGAATTAGGCCTAAAACATCGAGTGGATGATCCAAGTATAAATTCGACCCGAGTTGAGCCAGTTACTGATGAGGTTTCTTGATTTAATGAATCCGGATACAATGATGAATCGCTGTGCCGAAAACTGCTGCTGTTGGTCGAACACCAGGAACTCGGTGGTTCGGTGTATGTCTAAAAATAATAAATAAATGTATGAGATTATATAGATGATGGGATTATTATTGAATCGTATTTAATAAATATTAGAACGTTCGTAAAGTAATTTTTGTTTAGATTTTTCACTTTTAATGAATTTAACTTCAATCCACAAACTTTCTTCAAATCATTTAACCCTTCTTTGCATGATGATGGAAATTTCAATCATAATATTTAGTCAACAAAAAAAGGTAATCAAAACCGTTGTAATGTATATTTGTTGTTGCTGGCAACTTTTTATGCGACTATTGCGTACAACAAAACGCAGTTGTCCAAAAATAGTACTAGGATTTTTTTTAAAAATATTTTTCCTTTAATCTAGAGCATTAATTACATCACCCTGATTTATTTTAAAAAGAAAAGAAAAAATCGTGCAAAGAAGGGTTAACAATTGAATTAATTTAATTCGAGTAGATTGTTTTACTTTTCTACTTTTTTTTTTTTTATATTGTATCAGTAATGGAAAATTAAAGTCATCGTTGTATTTTTTTTGTTTAAATTACAGTAAGAATAATAATGTCAATGCAAAAAGTAGATACAAGTTTGTGTGCCAGTGTTAAAATTCATTTTGCAATGATTTTGATTTGAAAGATGCACGAACGTTCATTTCTAATAGAAGTTGAATTAATTAAATTAAATTAAACGAAGTAACTTTTCGAACATTTTAATATTTTTACAGAGGACTTTAATTGTCCTAATTCGATATTATAAATAATCAATTCCGCTTCATTTACAAAGCGAGATAATTTTTATTTGATTTTCGCGCGTACGTTTTATTTATATATTTATATTTATATATTTATTTGTTTATAAATATAAATACGCGTCCATGTCTTGAGAGCGCAAGGCTGCGTGTAGGAAAATTAGGCTCGATAAGGATGAAGACAACAAAAATTCGACGAATGAAATAATAATATTTTGAACAATAAGAGACAAGACAATTTTTCGGTTGAGAAACAATAATATTGGATTGATTTATGAAATAGAAAAAGGTGTGGCAGTGGTTAGGTGTATAATAATCAGTGGTACCGAATGAACACCTCAAGGCCAAAGCGAATTGGTAAGCGTGCGGATCGAATTTTTTTCTTTTTTATTTCAACATTTCTTAGATTTCGTTTGATTGAACTTTAAAGCTTTTTTTTTCTTTCTCTCTCGCAATGCTAGCAAATCAGATGAAACCTCAGCGAACGAAAAAAGACAACACAAAAGTCAAAGGAAACGTGGTGGTTTTGAAAAAATGAACATAAATTATGAACAATTGAGAATTACGAATAAAATAACGATTGTTAACATATAATGAAAAATAAATTGATTAATTTGATGATCGCATGTATTCGGTGTGTTATTGATAAATTTAAACGAATCAAAATAATTCAAAAGAAAAAAAAAGAAATGCAACATTGTTTTTCGGAACATTGTCGACAAAATAATTCATGTTAAATATTTCGAGCAATTAGTATATAATCTAAATAAGTTAATAATAATAATCATCATCATCATCATCATCATCATACGATACGTTCAACGTGAAGATAACGCGTGCCATTTTATTTAGGGAAAGAAAATAGAAAATAAATTGTGTGACCAATAAGAAAAAAAATACGATCGATAATCAAAATGCTGAATCTACGTGTATATCAGCAACAGGCCAGAGAAAAAGAGAAAAATAGAAAAGAGAAATAGTGTGATAGAGAAAGTGATAATCTCAAAGGAAATTTGTTCATAGTGAATTGCAAAGGAATGTTTCTACGGGTTTCGATAATTTGTTTGTTTTCATGTGTTTCTTTACGTGCAAAATACATGCCCCAAAATCCAAAACGTGTGACGACGAAGTAACCAAATTCTACAATTACGGCTAAAAATAAAAAAAGGGTAATGATGTAAAAATAAAAAAATAAAAAAAAAAAAAAAAAAGAAAAAAGAAAAGAAGTAATACGTAAAAATAAGGCTACAGCTCACCAAAACATCCAGGAATAAGAGATAGAAGAAGCATCGAAGCAAATGATAATAAAAGAAGCATAACTTACGAGAAAAAACCGGCGGCACAGAGAGACGCGAGTGAGGGGGGGCTTGTCGGGTGATGTTGGGCCATTTTTCTTTATTTCAACACCGCCGGTTGACGGACTCGAACGGACGTTCGCCTAATCTCCACAGGAGATGGTGGTGTTTTCAGTTCGGTAACAGGTAGATTGGGCACACGGGCTCGGGCATATTTTTCTCTCGCGAATTACGAGAAGAAGTTGGGTTGTGGTGGTGGTGGTGGTGGTGGTGGTTGTCGTCGTCGTCGTTGTTGATTGGTTAGGTCCGTCGAGTCTCTGTGTTTATTTTATTTCACGTTTTACGGTGGTGATATGATGGTGGTGGTGGTGGTGGTCATGGTGTTGTTATTTCTTTCGTGTGTAACAGATTTTTGGAAAAAGAAACAGAAAGAGAGAGAGAGAGAGAGAGAGAGAGAGAGAGAGAGAGAGAGAGAGAGAGA